ATCCACGAGTTGAAATAAGTGCTGAACAACACGACGCAGAACATGTTGGAAAAGACCCAGTAAGTGTGGAAGAGGTTTGACCACGAGAAAATGCTCTCCCGCACCGGCTTCAAGATGACTTTCTCGTCCTTCACTTCATCTTGCGTCTCTGCGGGAGGGAGGGCAGAAAATAGGGATAGTAAATAGGGTAAGTGTGGGTTGTAAAAAGGGTGTCAGGCATGTATGGTCATTTTTAGGTTGTGGGTGGGGGTGGCAGCCGGGGGGTGGAGAGAGAGAGAATGAGAAAGTGAAAAAAAAAACAGACAGACAGGCTGGTAGACAAACAGGTATAGACAGAAAGACCAACAAAAAAAAAACGGAAATACAAAGACAGGCAAACAGCAAGAAAAAAAAAAAAAAATACAGGCCTCGCTTTCAAACGCCAGAGATCGGACGTAACATACCCACTTCGTCAGTGTAAGGCACATGGTGTCGGGGCATCAGGGGCGTGAGAAGAAGGATTAAGGAAGCAACAGCAGCAAAGCCTGAACAGATGTACACCCAAGGCAATCCGGCCTCGCGAGCATACTGAAATGTACATACGAAAGCAGGTCATCGAAAAAAAATGGTGTCCAGGTAATGTAGTTTGCTAGATCTAACTTTCTTTTAAATGACGAGAAGGAAATGTCCTGTACATTGTAAAGTGATGTGTATACGTGAATTACGATCCAAAGTAAGTAACTATTTTTCTGATTATCTTTTTTCCTTGTGCGTGTGTATGTATAAGTGCCTTGCTACATTTCAAAACACTTGACCTCATGTTGACTCAAAGCTCATTAGCTTTCGAAAGAGTGCTTGGCCATGTTCCAATAATATGTTCACATATTTTGTGTACTTCGTAACATTGCTATTTTCATATATTTCACTCAAGATTTAAGTACAATCTTAAAGATAAAATAAAACACAGACATGATATCGCTTATCAGACACACGATCAGCTCGTTCGTGATAGTGTTTGATAATGCACAACGTCACCCTTTTTGTGGCAAATAAAAAGTACTTGTCACCGCACTCAGAAACACTACAGAAAAAAATGCAACCATCACATTTTAAATTAAATCTGTGTAGCTGACAGGGAGGGCGGTAATAACTAAAATTCACCACATCTTACTTGATCAGTCTATACACTCAAGACTTTTGAAAAAAAAAACGGCACACATTTCGTACAGACAAACGCAACCCATACCTGTAAGATGATAAACATCCCGGCAGATGGCGTGAACATCCCGCTGATGATAGCTATGGCGGTGTTGCGGCGTTCGGGGAATAGGTTCCCAAGCTGGAGTCCAGCCATTCGGATGATGTTCCCCCCAATGGAAAGGAAAATGGCGGCGCCCCACAGGTACGACGGAGAATCTGCGCGGGGGAAGAGTAGTAAAACAGAGCTAAAGATTTATGCGATGTGTATGTGTGTGTATGTGTGTGTGTGTGTGTGTGTGTGTGTGTGTGTGTGTGTGTGTGTGTGTGTGTGTGTGTGTGTGTGTGTGTGTGTGTATGCGCGCGCGCGCTAAAGACAACAGCTGATTGTAAATGCATGCATAAAAAAACGATACAAGAGTCTGATGTTACAAACATTCTGTGATGACTCAAAGGGAAAAGCAGTTCGGCATTAATTTTGGAAATAATTCACATTTCATTTTTGCATGCCGGATGTATCCTACATAATCGTGTCAAAGAATGCAGTACTCACTATGCAGATTAATAAGCCAAAGCAGCCGGAAGGATGAACTTCCTCCGCTAACATGACCTTTTCAGTCGTCCGAAAACTGACACTAAGGCAAGATGTACAAGTTGTATAAATGAAAGAAGACCACAAAGCATCACCTTTTCGGGCTCCTGGGTACAGCCCGGGCTCTCCCGCACTTTATCCCCGGAAATCTTAGACATCGTGGCTTTAATGAAACTGACGAGGAAGCGCAAGCCCTCGAAAACATCTTATACTTTTCGTTTCAGTGTACTCTCTCCTAGAAAAATAATAAATGAAAAATAATGAATGAGCGCTGCCACGGCCCGCAAGCCTCCCAGAGACTGGGGAAGATAGCCTCATTCCCTGTGCTTGGGCCTTGGCTCGAGCCTTCCGGTAAATGGATTTACTGCTTTAGTGTGTGAGCAGTGTATGGCCATGCGTTGTTAAAATAAAGTAAAGCCTTCTCATGTTTCGTAGTTAAAAACTATACTAAGCGGCCAGCCAATAATTTCATTATGATGAAGATGGTTAACAATACAGCTATAAGAGTAAACTTAACCCAATATTACAGCATCAATATCCAGGCAACATCAAGACTCGCCATGCCCAGGAGTTAGCAATGACCCTCAACCCGAGAGCGACCACCGCGCCCGGCCAACCCCTCGTAACTAACCCGCAGTGGTGAACGACAGGAGGATGAAGCCCGAGGAGATCAGCAGACCCCCGAGGACGCGGGTGACGGCGAGACCGAAGTGGTGGAGGCAGTAGCCCAGGAGGATGCCCGGAATGGAATACAACACACACGCGACGGTGTATATGAGGGCGAACTGCTGGTCCTGGCTACTGCATGCCAGTTGCGTCTGGAATGAAGGGGCTGGTACAGTGAGATGTCTTTCTGCAGGCCGTCGTGACTGAGTAGGAAGGACCAGTAACATATATGTGACGTCATTAAGTAACACGAACCATTCCAAAAGCCTACCGAGTCAGTAAGCACCAGCATAGCGCCATCGACCTTCTGCGTGGCGTTGTTGGACAGGGAATAAACTTGTTGCAGAGACTCCTTGCACAAGTGGCTGTACACGCCCATGGTCTTCAGCACGTGGACCAGGGACGCCCACCCGAAGACCGTGCCTGACCAGATCATCGTCTCGAAAATCCCCACCAGGAATACCAGCCACCGATGCCACTTCGGCATCTCGCCGATGGACGCGGCCTGAGCGCACAACACGGCCATCTTCGGCGGCGGCGGCGCG